GAAAAAAACCCTGGGGGGCGGCACCCGCCCCCTCCCTCGGCCAGCGAGGGTTAACCCTCGCCCCGTTGGGGGGGGGGCATTTTGGCCCCCCTGTGGTTTTTCCTGAATAGCAAGAAAACGGCGGCGCGCAGCGCCGCCAAATTTTCAGTACCTTCCCGGGCATCAATTTGACACCTTCACACCAAATTTCAAGTCTTAGGTCACCTTAGGTCAGGAGTTATTGAGATCAAACTGAGGTCATGTTCGAGCAAAAATGAGCAAAAAACATGCAATCTTGAAACGCTCACCAAATCTACAATTATCAAGCAATTTCAAAGTTCTTTATATGGTCTAGTAGACAAAAAACGGCGCTACAAAACTGCTATCTCGGATTTTCAAAATTTTGGGTTTTTGACCCAAAAAAATTATAAAAATTGATTTTTTTTAGAAAAACTAAAAAAAATCCAAAATTTTTCCGAATTTCGAAAAAGCCGGAATAGATGTGATAGTCCCTGCGCTCTTCTATATACATACCAAATTTCAGATCAATATCTCGTTTTTTGGCCAAGTTATAGCGAAAAAACTGTTCAAAATTGATGACGTCAAATTTTTGAACTCAATTTTTAGCGAATATAGACCACGTACGCAAAACAAAGACCACCATTGAATTCCCCGTGACGAGCTGCATCGATTCGATACCCGTTTTATGCAAAAATATTAACTTTGAAATTTGACCTAATTTGACCTGACCTTGAACTAACCTTGACCTGATCTTGACCAAAACGGACCTAAGCTGGCCCCAAAGGCTGCCTGACCCACATAATGGCATTTGTCATGTAAAATGGACCATAAAACATGTGTCACACGACACTTCCATATTGTGACCCCCCCCCCCGTGACCTGACCTCTGTGACCTGACCTGGTATCAGTGACCTCAAATAGCAAAATATGTGTTTGAAGAACATTTCCCCATCGATGATTTTCAATGAAATGCATTTTGCTCGATTTTACAACGTATTTCTTGAAATGCCTGTAAGCGGTGAAAATTGGACCTTTGACCTGACCTGTGACGTCATCGGTTTGACCTAGGTCAATAAAATTGGGTCACAAGGTAGTTCCCTGATAGGGCTATCCAACGCCGTTTGCCGCTTGTCGCTAGGTTGCGTGGTTATCGAGATCTTAGGGGGGCCAAAATGCCCCCCCAACGGGGCGCGTTGCTCGGCAGAGCCCAACGGGGCGCGGGTTAAAAATTTTACCCTAAAATTTGATCTTTTCTTACCTGAACGTGACCTAAACTCCGTAAGAACCGACTAAAAATGAATTCAAACGGCGAAGACCATATCCATACTAGTGATGTCAATTACGGAAAATCGGAATACCGATACCAAACCAAATACCAACCAAAACCACGGGAAAATACCGAAACCAAACCAACTTGGGAAACTGAGGGAAATACCAACTTTTTACCGATTTCTTAGCCTCTTATACATTAGTGAGGGCTTATGATACCAACAAAATACCAAACAAATTACGATTGAAATACCAAATACCAAGTTGGTATCGGTTTGGTATCGGTATACCAAAAAGTTGGTATCCGATTGACGTCTCTAATCCATACTATTTTTGAACTATGTGCCCAAAATGAGCCATAAAGCATGTGTTACATGATCTATACAAGCTTAAACAGTAAACATTTCCGCGGCCACTTGTGAACTAGCCTGACCATTTTCAGTACGTTTTAGATTGAAAAGTACCATCGTGGCCCAAGCTGCACCTATTAATGAGCTCTTTTTGTTGTAAAAAATAATTTGATCTTTTTACCTGACCGTCACCAGACTATCGCTATGCTCTGCTGAAAATGGTTTCGGACGCCGCAGACAATGCTTCCGAATTTTCTGTCGAAAATGAGCCCTAAAGTATGAGCCAATTGGCTTGTGCAATGTACATACACTGTATTTACAGCGTGTTCGCGGAAATATGTAATGATATCGTTGCACTGCTAACGCCGTCTCAAAGAAGATTGCAATTTGACTTTTTATAAAATTCATACATGAGAGAAATGATGCTCCAACACATAAATGTGAAAATAGCCAAGGATCAAATGGTAAATGAAACGGAAATAGAATAACTCGTTTGCTTGCAAACGCAAGTAAATTTTGGTACATCTACATTCCCTGTTTACTGAATGTTCAAAGTTGCCGTAAAATACTGGCCCACATCTCCCCACTCTCCCTAGTACCTTAACCCTCGCCGGACCTATTGGTTTTCTACATACGCGCCGGCCGAGGGGGGGGGGGCGGGTACGACCCCCCCCTCGCCGTTTCGCCCCTGGTGGAGCTAGCGCGTCGCGGAAAAAACGAGCGTGTGCGCCGTTACGAGACGCAGAGATTGGTACCCAATTTTAAGGTCCTAGGTCAACCGGTGACCTCTGAGGTCAGGTCAAGTGCCCCAAGGTACGGTTCAGTTTTTGGTGAATAACTTCGCAAAAAACGGCCGCAGAGCGCCGATTTTGGCAGCATCGTGTTCGTCTCGCTCAGGCGCGTCGAATGGTATACTTTTTGTCCGGGTCAGGTCAACTTGGGGTGTTGACCTCAGGTCAAGGTCAGGTCAGCACCCCCAGGTCACGAAGTTGGTCGAAAGAGGTCATGTCGCATATCATTCGATTCGGCAGGTCTTCCTGAGTCCATTGGTGGCTTTTCCGACTCGCTAGCTCAATTTTATCAAGAGTTATTGACGAAAAACTAATATGACCTTGATGACGTCATAAATGACGTCACGCAAGGTCAACATTGCAAAAGTGACGCATCTAACCTTGCAAGGAGTGCATCAAATCACGATTCTGTGTGCTTGAGATAGTTGGAGATCGTTCCCGGCGCCAGAATAGCAGTTTTCATTTTTCCCCATTGACTTATAATGGTGAGGTCACGAAAATGACCTGACCTCATATGACCTTTAGGAAAAATCCGAGATATACAAGTTGTGGGACTCATAATGGATACTAGATCCTGCAAGTTTCATTTCCCTGTGACATCTCCCCTGGCAGTGAGGGCGTTGCGAAGTTGCGACATCTGAAGACCGTGCAGAGGTTCACTTATGACGTCATAGGTCAGTGACCTGACCTGACCCAAAAATGCGGTTGGTGTCAAAAGATGCGGCTTGGATCAAAGGTCAGGTATGCCAAGTTTCAGCTCTCTATCGCCAGCGTGTTTGGAGCTATCGCGAAAAAACCCTATGGGGGGGGGCGGCACCCGCCCCCCCCCCCCTCGGCCGGCGAGGGTTAAGTAAAATCAACATCAATTTTAACGCCACTCATCTTAGCTATCAATCACTCTGCGCTGAAATGTGACCAACTGTTTCCAACAGAAAGGTACACGACAGGCTGGGATGTCAGGCTGTTGTGCTGTCGGTGAAATTCTCTGCGCCGCGTTTCATCCCGCGATGGTTTCCCGGAACGAAATGGCGCTCGGTTCCGGACACGGCAGCATGGCTCGTCCATTACGTCGACTGGCGAGTCGCCTGCTCACTCTGCCGGTCGCTGTCCTCGCCTCTCATCGCATCAGACGTCTAACAATCGGCCCCAGTCTCAGTTACTCTGGAGCAGTGTCCCAAAATTATTCATTGGGTTGGGTGTCAGATGAGAAATGCGTCTCCAAAAAGAGAGGTGAGAGCGGAAAATCGCCGGTCAGGCAAAACCCAAAAAGAGTGGGAAAAGATCAATAGTCTTAATTTCTATAAGACTATGGAAGAATGCAGGACGTAAAACTACCATCAACGCAAATACTCTTTCTCGCTAAAATTGGGAGTGGTGGCAAATTGCTTTTAAAAATTGGAGCTAATAGTGCACAATGGTTTTCATTTGGATATCACTTCCCAACCAGATCAGCAAATTTTGTGACACTGCTCCAGAGTCCCATCTGTTGTCTCATTTATGCTTTCTAAGCGATTCAGAAAGGTTTTCAATGCCTTTCATCTGTCATTTATGTTGTACCACTTTGAAAACGTTTTCTGGTCTAGGAAGAATATGTACCTACACCAAAATATCTTCCGGTCTGAAAAGAAAAATACTTGCGAGTCCCTCATTACACCGGGACTTCTGGAATTATTTCGACCAGTGGATCGGTGAGGGCCGAACGCTGCCGAGAATACGCCTAGAGGCGGGTCACCGGCACCTATATATAATTGTTGTTGGTTGCGTGATCATGACATTGACACATTATACCTTTTGATCTAGCCGTACCTGCCTCACCTGACTTTATGCATGTACAATGTACATATTACAGCATACACAATACAAGCTCGGTATGGCCCGCAGGGTATCTTCAGTATGCGTTTATGAGTATGCGCAGTGACTTGTGGCGGCTCGGCTAGAAGCTTTATAGTACGGATGTCAAATGCTTATTACCCCTGCTTTGGCATGACCAGTGACGTCACCAATGACTTCGAGGTCAACAGACTTAGGTTTCGCTTGACAGTTTTTCCAGGTACATCAAATGTTTGAATTTTGAAAACTTCACCAGCTGTTTTGAAGGTAAGAAGGAGGTTCTGTGACTTCAGTGACTCGCGCTACAGAATGGCCCTTTTCGTTCCGAGTAACTTTGCGTTGATACCAATTTCTTACTTGAGAGTACCAACTCTCTGAGCCCTTAAAATCCTTACAAAGGTGCCTACTGCCTACACAGTAGTTATACCCCAGTCGTGCGCGAGCTAATCTTGTATAAAATATCCCCATCTTACGTTAGGGTCCCAGCTGCGTTATAAATATCCCCATCTACAATATTTTACTGAGCCAGGAAGCCCGCCCGTAAAAGGATTCTGATGCTTGTCAGAGCATTCAGGAAAAGATAAATTAATCAACATTTATATGTTTGGTCAGGAACAATTGGAGGGTTGCCAATCAGATCCGACTGCATCCTGCATCCATTGTCACCGCGCACAATCTCGTGCGCTGTCTGCGAGACACATTTTTTTACGCCGATTAGCATGATCGCCGCGCCGAGCGATGCCACACCGCGTCCAATTACAGCTGGAGCCGGCCGGCCCCACAGGCGACCAATCGGGCGCTCCAGCGAAAGAGCCCGGCGCGGCGCGGCGCGGCGCTCGCGGCGGACCGCCAGTGTGCCGCCGGACCGGCGCGGCGGCGTGTGCCGAGCTGTGACTGCGCGCCCCGCCACCGCTAGGAGAATGGCTAGCGAGCAGGTGCGCCGGTGTCTGCAGGCGGCCGGCGACCTGCGCGCCAACGACATCGTCCGCTTCGTGCGTCGCCGGCTCCACCTGGCCGCGCGCAGTCCGGTCCTCTGTCTGTGCGGCGCCTTCTTCGTGCTGATGACGCTGATGCCGGCGCCGATGCCGCACCAGGCTTCCGAATCACTCTCCAGAACCGGTGAGTGAACGCTGAGCTGCGGCTGGCTGTAACGCCGACAGGCATTGCTGGTTGTTGGGAAAACTAGGTAGCTATGGTTGTGCGACGCCTAAATATGTGGGATGGTAGCAATTAGTCGTGATCGTCCAGTCAATTAATGCGGGATTCCCACGCTCATATTTGTCGCCCGGCCGTGCGGGGGCTGGCAAGTCCGACCCGCACAGTGAAGGCCGCAGTGTGACCGCACAGTGACCGAGTGAAATGAATGGGGACCGTACCCAGGAATTGAACCGAGAAGGAATTGTACACAATACCCTACCCAGAAATTGTACCAAAGATATTTCGAGTTTCGACATCAACCGACATCACTGAAACGGATAGTCGAAGATTGAATGTCGTGACGCCGCAGCCATTGGCATTATCATATGCCTGTTTAGATATGGCTGTGTGCGATTTTTGCTATTTGTATTGCATACCTTGTTGCATACCACATTATGAATTTATTTATAAGATCATAGATATCTGTATACTATAGACCTCGGCATACATAACATGACCTTTTCCTGACCGGAAAAGGTCATGTTGCATATCAGTAAATCCACAACGTCGAGCCGAACACATCTAAGGCGTTTTTATCGCTCTAGCACGCCTCTATCAGAAGTTATTAGCGAAAAACTGCTAGATTCTGTTCGTGACCTGAGATGACCTCGGGGACATAACGCAGTGCAGTGTGCACAGTTGCCATTTTCCGGTTCAGTGTGTCAATTTTACCTGTATCTCGATGTTTGCGAGTGTCTAGAATAGCGTTCGTGCAAAACAGACGCCTTTCAATTTTCTCCCATTGACCTACATATAATGGAAAGGCCGCAAAATTGACCTGACCTTAGGTCACCGATATCAAAATTCCGAGATGTACATTTTATAGATAATGTTGCTCTAATCAATCGCTGAAAACTTCAAGGCAATCGTTCAGTCGGTGTAGCTATGACGAGCATTCTTATTTTTTTCTGAGTCGAGGTCACTTGGCGTGACCTGTTGACCTGACCTTAGGCGACCTGGGTCTGAAATTTTCACAACATGTGCGGAAAAGATGCACGAACAGGTGTACTAACCTCCGTTTTTGATATACCTATCTGCGAAAAACCGCAGGGGGGTGTTCAAACACCCCCCCCCCCGGCCTGGCGCGGGTTATACTGAGCCGGTGCGATTCCCTGAGCCCTATTCCACTGTGCAGTGTGCACTGCTGACTGGCCTCCTGTTTCCTAACCCGTGACCTTCCCGCTGTAAACATGCTGACCACGCACCATGCTGTCAGTGCGTCGCACTTGTCTTGTAGTAACTATAATGCTCTGTTCTGTCTTGCCCCTTGCTCAAAATTCGACACGCGCTCTGTCGGCTCCGACGGGAAGGATTGTCACATCGGTGTTGTCTTGATGTTCCCTTCGAAACGGTAGTCGTTGTTTTCTCTGTCGAGGACACCAAGCTTATGAAAATGAATCAGTAATTAAACAACACAAATAAAAACACACAACGACGTTTAATTTGTAAGAAGTAGCAACATTGTCAATCAGTATTTCCCGCATTAACTCTGGCCAGTGAGCGCGCACCACGTGGCAGTGGTGACCGCTGTTTGAGGCTATCTTGGCGAGAGCGACCAACAGCCGGCGGCCATTGCACCGCGCACAGCTCTCACATCCAGGTCAGCCGCAGCCGGGCGGCAGGCGCCGCGCCGGCCACCTCGGCTCTGCGTCCCGTTATGGTGCCTTGCAGCGACGGCACACGCCGGCCGCTCGCGCACCGGCCGCTCACTGTATTAGATGCTGGTTATGTATGTAGGCATGTTCTTGTGCACATTAGGTATTTTTTCAGGTTGTCCATCTTTATATCTATCCTGCGCCCCGCTGGGAGTCTTGGATTTCCACGCCCTGTTGGGGGGGGGGGGAGGGGTGTTTGAACAGCGCTACCTTCTAACTCGGCTCCTGGGCCACGTAGAGACACGGAGAAGTCGGTGTTCGAAAGAGCGTAAAATAATGACGATATCATCTCGGTCAATTTTTGCCCAGGTCAAAGGTCAGTTCCCAGAGGTCATTAAACGCCAAATGTCTCCGATTTTCAGGTCGAATATTGACAAATTTCAATAAACCAACGTATAACTCGGAAACTAATAAAGCTACAGCACCCGGAAAGGCACATTTGATAGCCCTTTTAACAATCTTTCTGAATATTTGTCTTAAGGTCGTTCTCCACGGTACATGTTTTGCGCGTTTTTAATGACGTTTTAACGCTTTTTTGATGTTTTGCGAGTTTTTCATGATCCGGCGTTGATCTGTACCATTAAATTACACTGTGCCATCTCCACGGCGGAAGATTTGTCAAAAATCAAAAAACGCGTGGCTTCATAAAATCAAAAAACTGCAAAACTCGTAAAACGCGTCAGGTTGTGTCCAGGGGGGCGACACGGCTATTCACGCAATGTATTCATTTACGGGCCTCGCGGGGCCTCGCGATGACGCGGCTGGAGGCAACCACTCAGCGCGCTAGGATCCTTCCGGCGGGGCCGGGCGCCGTAAGGTGTGCAATGAATGGGCGGGCAGACACAGATGAGGTAGCCGGTAGGTATTGAATTTGAAATGACATCATGAGCAATTTGATGGGGAGAGAGAACGTTTCTAATGGAGCTTGGGATGGGGGAAAACCAAAAATATCAGTGGGTTCAGAGCTCCGACGGGGCCGGGCGCCGTACGGTGCGTAGTAATTTAGGCGGACAGACAGATGAGTTATCGGATTTGAATTGACCTTACCATCGGGCTCTCTGGTGGGATTTTAAGACGTTTTTACTTTTTAGTTAAGCTCAGGGTGGGGCAGCCCGCTGGCGGATCCAAGGGAAGGCGTTTGGGACAAATGTTATCCCCCACAGGCCTACATCCGGGGCAGCGCCCGAATTCGTTTTTCGAGAGCAAAACGAAAACTTCACAACTTTTCTGAGGAAAATTTATTGATCGAACTGCACAGTAGTGCGCAAGGAATCGAAATCCGATATTCATAGAAACCTTTTTAGGGTATGCCCCACGATGTGTTCAAGACCTCTTCTTGGATCCGCCAGTTAAGAATATGTCACGGTCGATTATATCGAGTTTCGGCGTGACCGGGCGCTGTATACGTCGTACCTACGATGAAGAGGCGTACAGACACCACACCCCACATCCTACTGTTCTACCTGTTATGTGTGAAGCACTGAAGTATCACAGAAGCCCACAGGACCTGCGAGTCGACGAGGTGGCCGCTGGATACTGCAGCTTCCCGGAGTTGCCCGGGACCGAGGGTTTAACAGTAGTAATTTCACTGGTGGCGAATCATCGTATGTAAAGATCATATCCTCAATGACCTCCGTTACGATTTTATATTCCTAATATGGCAGACCAATTATGCTTGCCTACGTTCAGGCATTATCCCTGATGCTTATCCGCCCACCCACTACAACATGTTTTGTCTGTCAATCAACCATTGCTCGACGACGGGATCCACTCTTAACCATCCGTATTCGATTGTCAGTTCACCCACCCCGTTTCCCTAAAATAGACGGGTCAGACTCGGCCTGGGTCCTAATGAGTCCTAGAATCACCAGAGACGGGATCAGGTCGCCGTTATTGTACCGGTCTTGGCGTCTTTAGGTACCTACATATAGACAGCTTCGACCACGGACGTCGGACCGTTCTACGAATATACGCACCATCCAGGCCTAAGATGCGTCGAGCTTTATAAGAATGCAGTCTAGATCAATCAACAAAACAATGGTGGTATGCAAAAAACGCTTTAAAATCTCTCCCCCGCTCCCGCAACGTCCCAACGCTCCTCCGTTATACGCTCGCCCGATGCGTCCGCCGAGCCGGCTTGCCTCCAATGACGTCATCGGCCGGCCGGCGGCGTTCAAGGTCAAACGGCTGGTGTCCTTACCTGGAGTTCTATAGCCTTGGTTGTGTCATGCAAAACTCGTAAAACCTTTAAAAAACGCAAAACTCTCATTTGTAAAAACGCGCGATTTTATCCAAACATTTGGATCGAATGAAAGTTTTCCGGTTTTTGACAAGGCTAAGAAGGCAATCCTTCTACTATTAATACCATTTTACGGTGAAATGGATGCAATGGAAAGTGTGGAAAGCGATGAAACGCAATTTGATCATTGGCGAAATTGACCTGATCCTAGGTCTTTGATAGCGAAATTCCGAGATATGTGTTTTATATACACTGCCGTTCCTATCAATCGCTGAAAGTTTCAAAGCGATCGGTCACTCGGTGAAGCAATGGCAGACATTTGAAACTTTTTATAAGGTGAGGTCACTTACGAGTACTTGATGTGACCGGGTGACCTGACCTTGGGGGACCTCTGTCTGAAATTTTCATAACATATGCAAAAAATATGCTTGATGAGATGTGCTAAAAAAGGCGGCACTCTGTGCCAACATTTTTTCTTAATTTACGAAAACCGTAGGAGGGTGTTCAAACCTACACCCTGGCTCAAACACCCCCTCCCCAAGCAGGGCGCGGTTTAATTAGCCCTTATAACTGCCGAAGACGCATCCTCTAATATCCTCAGCGCGATTTTCAGGAATGTGCACCACTTGTAGACCATTTGCAGAGAAGGCATTAGATAGGTACTATTTATCATGCGAGTAGGCCGACGACAGTGGGAGTGGAGTATCCCCCGGAGCTTAAGGCTCTACGCCGGAGGCCCGCAATGAACTGTCGCAAGGAAGACAAAGCGGCTTTAACGAAATTCCGATCTGTCAGACATTCAAGTGGACATCTAACTATACGTGTATTGAGTCATTGTAGATCCTGACAATCGGTTATTTCCTTGGAAGATGAGATATAAGGGATTATTCGTATATCTAACGGGCACCGTAGAGGTTGTCAAGTGAATCCCATGAGCGTGAAACATCGACGGCGCTCCACGCACACTCGTGCCCTATCCGCACACATTCGGCCGATACTCGATATGTTTCTAGCTTTGGTAACTGATTGGGAAGGCGTAATGTTTCTCACGGAATTACGCTCTTGCTGAATATCGTGCGCCGCACTGTACAGTGTGCAGCCGCCCCAGCTGACAGCTTTATTTGCTAAATTTGGCTATGACAACAATTTATGAGGGCCGCACACCATGCGCCTGTCTGAAGATGTCAAACGGATGTCCATTTCATTTCGAATGCAAATCAGGTCGGTCCCGTAGCTCAGTCGATAGAGCGCAGGACTCCGCGTGGTCAAAGCACGCGCCCCGGTTATGACAGTCCGGGTTTGAAATGCGTCGGGCGCTCGATGTTTATGAGCCTCCTGACAGCTATGGTTGCGGTTGGTGGCAGGCTGTAGCCAGGCGAAGTCAGTGAGGCGACCGGCTGTGCGCACTATGTGCGTACGTTAACCCGCGCCCCGTATGAAGGGGGGGGGGGGCGAAACGGCCCCCTGTCCTTTTCCGTAGATATCTCCTAAAACGACTGCAGATATCGTCACGGAACTTTCAGGACCTCTCCGGGCATCAATTTTACACATTGTGAACAAATTCATTTTCCAGAGGCTATGATAGGCTGGCCACAAAGGACGTCAGAATGACGTCCTGCTCTTCCATTTTCGACCAAAAAAGGTTTCGCTGGAAGAGCTGTCGGACCTACAGCTTTAAAAGTAAAAAAAAAATGTTCGAGAGATAAAAGATGTAAAATTAATAGGGCTGTAATACTGCTATCTCGAATTTTTAAAATTTGTGGATTTTGACCCCCAAAATAAAAAAGGAATTGTTTGGATATAACAGTAAAAAATCCTAAAGTTCTTTTGAATATTTAAAAAACTGGATTATAAATGATAGTCCCTACTGTCTTCTATCCACATAAATTTGAGATCGGTACCTCTTTTTTGGCCACGTTGTAGCGAAAAAAACCTTCAAAATTGATGTCAAAGCTGCGAACTCATTTTTTGCAATTCTAGTCCACGTAGCGCAAAACAAAGACAACCATTAGACTCCCCGCGACGAGCTGCATCGCATCGATACTCATCTGATGCAAATATATCAACTTTGAGATTTGACCTAATTTGACCTGACCTTGATCTGACCTTAACCAGAACATAACCTTAACTGGCCCCAAAGGTCGCCTGACCCTCATACTCGCATTTGTCATGTAAAATTGACCATAAAACATGCATCACACGACACTTTCATATTGTGACCCACAGTGACCTGACCTCTGCGACCTGAACTGGTATCAGTGACGTCATATAGCAAAATATGTGTTTCACGAACATTTCTCCATCAATGGTTTTTGGTTAGCATGCCTGTTACTCGATTTTACAACACTTTTCTTAGAATGGCTGTAAACTGTGAAAATGCGACCTTTGACCTGACCTGTAACGTCATCGGTTGGACCGAGTTAAATAAAATTGGGTCACAAGGTAGTTCCCTGGTAAGGCAATCCAGCGCTGTTTGAATTTTGAAAATCGGCAGGTAACTTTCCGAGATCTTAGGGGGGCTGAAACGCCCCCCCTACGGGTGGTAGGGTCCGCCGATAGCCCTACGGGGCGCGGGTTTAATTTCGGACTCCAAATTCTGCCATAGACCAGGAATTGCGCGATCGGAGGGTAAAAGACTGAGGGCAGGCTCAACGCAACAAACAGCGGGGCTCTGTCCTTGTGATTCCTTCCATTTGGATTGTTTGAACTAAGCTTAAAGAAATACCGAATCCTTGTATGTATATGCCTAATATATATACACATAATTACTATTCTCCAAAACAAGCCAACTTTAGTGAACCGTGATTTTTTGCTTAGCATTTCCCGAATTGGTTCATTTTTTAGTGTTTATCCGTGCACAGACCTCGGTATGCCTACATAAGTCTATTTATCTGTAGTTTCGGTTGCAGGCTTATTTCTAGTTTTCCAATGCTCTGAAATAGCTGTCTGTCTGACACGCGCCTCTGCCGGCCGGTCGGCGTTCAGCACGGAGCGCGGACGACCCACCCGAGGACGTAACCTGGGACCGGCTGCCGCTGGTGCCGGCCTCCGCTGACGACGAGGACCAGCTCATCGAGTGCACCGACGACGAAGATGAGGAGCTGGAGCTACCGCAGGTTAGTGGTGCTCACTCACTGTCAGATTATTGACTTTGCTTTTCGACTACATTCATACGATCTTATATACTTCCTTATATTCCTTATATTCCTTATATTCCGCTTATTATGTAAGATGTAAAACCTATTATTTATTTTGGTTTTGAATGCAGGTGCCAAATCTCAGGTGGTAATAGTGTAATAATAGCAGACTGGTGTTTGATTCATCTGTGATTGAATCGATTGGATTGAATCAAACAAAATTTGTTGAATCAAAAAGGTTTGATTCACCGTCAGAATTGTTTGATTCACAAGCCATGATTGAATCAAACGCATTGGAATCAGTGTTGATTGAATAAAAGAAATATGATTCATGAACTTTAAAAAATTGAAGTAAACGAACAAAGTTCATTATCATTTATCAACAAATATTAACACTACTGCCATTACATGACAACAAAAAGAAAAGAACACAACAAATACAATACTATCCCTGATATTTTGTATATTTTATTATTTAATTGAATCAAAAAAAAATTATTCAAAAAAAATTGGCTGAATCAAACATGAATGATTCGTTTTATTGTTTTTTGATTCTCTGAATCAAAAGGAATCGATTCACCAAATTTTTTGAAGGAATCAAACGGTGATTGAATCAAACAAAAATCAAATGAATCAATGATTGAATCGATCCAAAAAAGGTGAATCAAAAACCAGTCTGAATAATAGGACAGTTGAACGAGAGCAACAATTAAAATCGGATTAGAAAATGAATACATAAACCAGTTTGGTTTGCACATAAAGCATAGGTACAAACTTTATGTCTCCCTGTTCATTGCTTATCAATCTCTACATGATAATGAAGATTTGGATTGTTCGAGGGATTAAGCTCGATTGTACCTTAATAAGCACATCGTAAGGATATCATAGGCGGCGGAACGGGGAGGGCACCGGGGCACCATTCCCCCCTTTGATTTTTGCATTTTTGGGACCAAAAATCGGCAGTGTCCCCCCTTGATTGAAGGCGTTCCGCCGCCACTGAAGGATATCACAAATCCTTCTATTGTATTTTCCTTGTGACTGTATTTGGAAGGTAAATGACTACTAGCTACTAAATGATGGCGTATTTGCACCTACGAGACAAGACGGATGGTGCGTACAAACGCACGTTGTCCAGTCGCCTGCAGGCACTATAAATTATAACGAGCTGCACGCTCCACTGCCCTTTCGGTGACGGAAGCTGTCTGCTGCGCCTGAGCATTATGAGTTGTGTAATCCCCACTGCGTAGCACTGGCTTGTGCAAACATACATATTGTTTGCACGTGTCACTGGGGGATAATTTGCTGAGGTCAAATCGAAGTGTCCGACATTACGAAAGTTAATGACCCGGAGCCGGTTAATTACTGTGGAATTTCGTAACCATTGCGCCCTTCCGTTACGTTAATGTCCCTTCAGGCAGTCGTAATTCATTCAGCCTTTCATGTTAAGTGACTACTGACGACTTCCCTACGAGTGGCTTTTGCCGAAATTGTAATGCGATAACCACTACTCCACGGATGATCTATTTTTGTCGGCTGTGAGCGGTTTCTTAGCGATGCTGGCATATCGGCTCTAATTATCGTCTTTGACAGCAAAATAATGGCCTTTGGTGGCGCAGCTATTGAGCAGTGGCTGAGCCCGCCCGTTGAGCTGGCGTGTCCAGCTGTCATGGCTCAACGCTTCGGTGCGGCGGCGGAGACAGAAAAAGACAGCTGCCGCTGCTGAGAGCGCCTGGAGACGCCTGCCACGGCGCCTACGCCATGCACCGCACGCAGCTCCGGCGGCGGCTCTGACGTGCTGGCCGACGGCAGAACCCACCGCGGGGCATTTCACCTCGCCATCTCACAGCGGTGAAACCGACGCCTCGCCAGCGCAATAGGATATGAGTTGGCTGTTTTGCTCTCACGCGGTATTCCGCAAAGAACACGCGGCTCAGCCACTGTCCATCGAGGCCAAATGCTGTCAGGTATGGAACGTCAAAGTGGTTTGCGACTTATTACGCCAACTTTAAAACTTGAAATGGCTGACTGGATGTTAGGGTCTCCCAATAAGTGTCAAGGCTGTCCCGACCTCAACGGAGCACAGTTGTTTCTGCATTAGCAGGTCAACGGTCTGATTACCATTAGCATATCGATGCATATGTTAATTAAGCTACCTACGTTTGTATAGTCACTTGCATGGAGCTGATTTCTTCCTACAAGCTGGATATGAATATTATCATGGCAGTCGTTTATCCTATATACCTATGCAATATACATATACACAACGTATCACTATATCCAGCCCATATCCACATCCAGTACTAACACATCCGCACTCTCACATACAACGCTGACAGCACAACTAACGGGCCATCGCTAGTGGAAACCAGACGGTACCCGGAAAAACCCCGTCCAGCGGGCTGGGCCAGGATTTCCAGAAGTCGCCAGTCATGGAACGCGCCATCCAGGCCCACCTATTGACTGTGCTGCGACTGACTTTGACGAAGTGTGGCCCACAATGCGTTGTGAGCACTTTTGGGTTTCACCATGTTTGACGCGTACACACTGGAACCGTTGCGTGGCTGTGCTATCGACCTCCTTTTGGCCGTCAGCTCTCCACCTAAACGATGCCTTTTTGAGAGGAGAAGCTCGAAAAAACAATCAGAACATAAATAAGCCTCAACTTTCAGTTCAGCTTGCAGTAAACCTATGTGTTTTTAGTATATGTCTCTATACATTTCTACTAGGTACTTATCTAACTATACATATAACTGTGATTGCAATTAAATACAGTGCAAGGAATATTATTATTATTATTATTATTTCATTTATTTTCACCAACCACAGAAACGTGGGCGTTACGGTGAAAATAGGCACGAGGTAGGTACATACATACAGTTCACCAGGTACACAACACTTAACATGATCCACGTATGAACATACCTATTACCTATGCATGTTACCTACAAGCTACATGCACGTTACATGAACAGACTCAAACTGCCACCATATCAATATTCTCCTGATACAAAGAAGTAGTCCTCAAACGTATAGTGCAGTGACTGGCGAGTAACATCAAATGAAACACTGGCAATTGCACACGTTGAAACGATACATTGTATAAGTACGAGCATATGACCGATAATCATGGCTTGTCAATGTCTGCCTTAGTTAGAATGTACTTTATTACTTCATTCTTTGAGGCGTTCCTCACTTGAGGGGGCAAGCTGTTCCAAAGCTTAGAGCCTTGGTAAGAAAGAGAATTTTTCATGAATTCCGTTCTTGGGGCAACAAGATCAAGGTTCTCTGATTGTCTTGTGTTACGTTCAGATTGTCGTGTCATAAAAAGCGTCGAAACGAGAGGCGTTGTACTTTCAGGAGAAAGCAGACATTGGCGGACAATATTAAGAGCAGCAATTTTATATTCCGTGGCAAGATCAACACGCCATGCCACACTTTTGCCTTCGCGACCCGCGATTCGCCTGGCAAATTTAACAATCTTAGCTATTCTTTTTGCTTGAGTCATACTGCAGTTTCCCCACACTGAAACACAGAAACGCATATGCGGCAAAACTAACGAGTTTATCAGTAGGACAACAGTTTTTAAAGGCATCATGTGGCGCAGCTGACTCAAACGGATTAGCATGCCGATACATTTGCCCGTAATTGTGTCAATGTGGTTGCTCCATGTGAGACAGCTGTCAAGTGTCACACCCAAACTGATCACGGACCGTTTGATAGGCACGACGGTATCAAATATTTGTATGCTCTTCAGGTCGATCCGTTTCAAGATAACCTTGGAGCCAAAAACAATAACCTGTGATTTAGCAACATTCAGTGATAGGTGATTTTGTGAGAACCAAGTCCTTAACTTTTTAAGCAAAACCTGAAGACGATCGACCATATCAACCAGGTCGTGAGGTGATCCAGACACTAGCACCTGGGTGTCATCAGCATATTGAATCATGGAACCTGGCTCAGGAGCGACAGTAGGCAAATCGTTCACATATATGTTAAACAGTAAAGGACCCAGGACACTTCCTTGTGGAACACCCGATGAGACAAGGCCTGTAACATCACTACAGCCTCGTACATATTGGCATCTATCTGTTAGGTAGGCTTTGAACCATGGGTGGTCAATACCGTACTGGGAGAGTTTATCTAGCAGCATATGATGGTTTACAGAGTCAAATGCCTTGCTCAAATCAAGGCACACCAAAATGCATACATTACCCCTATCAATAGAGGACCTGATGGACTCTGTTAAAGCAATGAGAGCGTGCTCTACGGAATGACGCGGTCGAAATCCAAACTGCTCGTCCGACAACACACAAGAGTCGCTCAAATACTCCTTAAGCTGAAGAGCGACGAGTCTCTCCATAATTTTAGAAGCAATGCACAACAGCGAAATCGGCCTGTAATTGGACGCATTTTTAATATCACCTTTACCTTTATGAACAGGCACCACTTCAGCTGTCTTCCAGCACGATGGTAAGGTACCGCTGGTAATGGAAGAGTTGAATATCCGCAGGAGTGGCATGAGTAACCTGCTAGAAAAGACTTAAATAGAAAAGCAGGGAGTCCATCGGGTCCTGAGGACGAATTTACCTTTAAGGATCGCAACCTGTGACCCCTCTGTGAGCCCCTGAGGTCATCTCAGGTCATGAAAGATCACCAGCAGTTTTTTGCTATAGCTTTTGATAGAGACGTTCTAGAGCGGTGAAAACATGTCAGATGTGTTCAGCTCGATAATACGGATCGACTGATATGCAACATGACCCTTTCCGGTCAGGTCATGACCTTGACCTGAGGTCAAATTTTCAAAATGACCTTTCAAGGTCAACAGATAATTAATTCGACGCGTCTCGACGAGAGGAACACGATGCTGGTAAAAGAAAGTTCGTGCAAGGTTTGAGTCAAAAGTTATTGTAGAAAATTGTTTCCTGAAAAAAATCGGCTATTCTGGCAGTTTTTGCCCCCTGCAGGCAAAACCGTTGACG